CATGACGTTGGGAATGAGTGTGGGGAGGCGGGGTGTCATCATCTCGGTGGGCAGGCTGATGATGCAAACCTTGACAAAGCCAAGAACGCTCTTCACGATTTCGCGGTTGTTGGAAGTAAGGAAGAGGTCCATGGTCTGGACAAGGTCGGACAGTGTTTCCTTACTGACGGTCTCGCGGAACTCATAAAGGACGCGGGTAATGGCAGTGATGGAGGCCGAAATCATGTGGGGGGTACTGCCAGCCAAACCGGCACTGACCATGGTGAAGAACTCCTCAATAGAGGCCGTAGCCGCAGGAGCATCCGCGGGCATGTGGGGGACCTTGCTGTTATCGATCAAAGAGCCCTGAGCAGAAACCATCTTCTGGCCAAGGAGAACCAGAAGGTCGAAGGCGGTGGTGCGAGCCTTCTCGTTGTGCTCCTTGCAGCCAATGACAACCTCTGAAAGAATGGAGGGAATGAAGTGCAGGGAATCGTTGGGGATGAAGTGAATCAGAGCAGCAATGGCAGCCAGGCGCTCTCTCCGGGCAGGTGCCGACACCTTCTCAGAGCTGGACAGGAACAGGGTTTGGAGCTCGCCATGTCTCTCCTCGAGGGCGGCCTTGCCGATGGGGGAATCCGCCAAGCGAGGAATGAGCTTGTAAGCCTTCTTTTGCAGCTGAGGGTCATCATCCTTGAAGATGACTACCGAAGCGATCTTGAAAAGAGCCTCAAAGCTGGCACGGGGGAGGTAGATAGACATGGTAACGACCAGGTCCATGAGAGTGTGCGCGGCAGAAGGCATGTGATCGGCCTTCTGCTGCTGTTGGGGCTTCTTCTCAACAACCTCTTGAAGAGCCTCGGCGAGCTTCTCGCACACCATGTTGAAAGTCTCGGTAAGACGCGCGGGGGGAATGATGCTGAGGTAAGCATTGATGGTCTGGAGGACAGGGCCGCGCTTCTGGGGGAGAGTGGTGCTGTAGACGTTGAAGAGAACAGCGAGGAAGTCAGCCGCAAAGGTGGTTCCGAGGTACTCCAAGTTCTTCTGCGCCTGCTCCTTGCTGACCCTGCCAAAGAGGATAAGGTCATCGACCTCATCGGAAGTGGCGATGGCCTGGTTGGACTCAACAACGGTCCTGAGGGCGCGACAAATATCCAAGCGCAGGTCAACCTGCTCATACAAAAGGTTGGTCAACATCTCAGCGAAGCCTGTGTCGAAGGCCTCAACAAGATCAAGGGGAAGGTCGCAGTAGCCGGGAAGAATCGACCAAATCTGCTGAACCACAGTCTCGAAGATCTTGATGTGAATGTTCTTCTCGCCCTGGTGCTCAATCACACGCTGGAACATGATAGCACTGAGAGGAACTAATTCGCTCTTGAAGTGCGCAAGATTGGTGTTAGAGGTGTAGTCACGGAGAAGAGGAAGCATCCAAGCTCTGCCAGGCTGACCCTTGACGGGTTTCGCGAGGTTCAGGGGAAGAACATTCAAGACCGCCTCAGGACCCATTGCACGAATCGCCTTGCCAAGGACCTCGTCGGCTTCCTGCTTTCCAGCGAAAGAATCGTTACCGCGGATTTCGCCGATGCTCTTGACGACGGAAAGGAGGTAAGGGTTAGCCTGCCACCGAAAGGCATCGAACATGGCACCAAGAACGTTGAAAGTCTCCATCCAGGCAGCTTGGTACTGGACGGTGAGAAGGCCCTCGACAACCTTGACTAGTTGCTGAATGACCTTCTCGTCAAAAATCGAAGGCTCAAGGATGGCCTCCTTGGGGACACAGTTGGCCAGGAAGGAGACCAAGCACTCGGACGCCGAAACGCGAATATTCTTGTGCTGGGACTCGAGGTATCCTGCAACCAGAGTGAAAGGATCGACCAGCTCTTGGAAGGTCTCGGCGGGCGAAATCTGACCGGCAACATCGTAGGCTCTCGACAGAATGGCGATCCAGGGAGGGAGAAGCTGGGTATCGTTGGGCGCGGGACGGAGCTCTCTGATGATCTCAAGCAGCCGAGGAAGCTTGGCGGAGGCAACCTCGTCGGCGGCCATGCCCTCGAACATCATCTCGAAGATCTCGAAGACAGCCATGCTCATGTGCTCGTTGCCAGTCCGGGCAATGCTGAGAAGGAGCTCGCACAAAGACTCAATGCTCTTGCTGGGCCAGCCACCGCTCCCAGAGGCGACAGCCTTGACGAGTTGCAAGGCGTGGATAAGCTCGGGATCGTGGGTAGAGTCGGTAGTCTTCTTTTCCTTCCTCTGGGCGGCGGCCTTGTCAGCGACAAGACGGAGGCTCTGCATGGCTGTCTCGGCGCACATGGGGGCGGCGGGGTGGTCGAGAGACGGGCTCGGCGGAGGGTTCTTCAGAATGTTCCTGAGCGCTTCCTGGGCTCTCTTGCGGACTTTGGGACGCGGGTCGAGGGCAAGGGCGAGGAGGCCGGCCACAGCCCGGCGGGGGCCAATCTGGGCGGTACCGAGCTCCCACTGTGTCGCATCTTGAGCAAGGAGCAAGCTCTCGAGAGAGCCGATCGAGGCCCTCATGAGGGGAGCATCGGCATCGGGGAGGGACAGTACTGGCGCGAGGATGGTGATGATCTGAGTGAACTTGGCCTGAAGAATAGGCTTTGGAGCGAAGGGAGTGACGACATCGAGGAGGTAGACGACGGGGGTCGCGAGGTTCTCGTTGTTGAGTAGACTGAGAAGGGCGGCGAAGTAGGCGGTAGGAGTCGCGGGTGTATTGCGCTCCTTGAAAGTGGCCTCGATAGCCTCGAGGACACTGGCAGTCTGTGGCTAAAGTCAGGGTCCATTGTCCACGATGGAGGCGGCCTTGCGACAGGCCACTGCAATGGCAGGCTGGAAGGAAGAGGGTAGGGATGCAGAAGACAAAAGATAGAAAAAGGAGAGATGCATCATGACTCTGGCTTACCTGCTTCTGGCTCTGGAGATTCGGAGACCGAATCTTGTCCAGTTTCTCCTGCAAAGACGGAGAAGAAGCCATCGTGAATGTGATGGAATGGCGCTGGAGTGGGACAATGCAAGCCGCTTCGCAGTGCTGAAATCGATGTCATGAAGAACAGAAAAGTTCGAAAAGTTGTCGCTTATCGGCGCGCACGCCCCACCCGGTGTCATTGATAAGGGTCTGGCGCTAGTCCGAAGCTGATCCCAACTGCAACTCCAGGGTTAGCTATGGCATCTCATGCTTATAGAGGTACCTATGTTTCGCTTGGGCAGCCATCAAGGTTATGAGATACAATAATTCCTGTTGGATTGTACGAATAACGCATACCCACTAGGAACAAGTTTCTATTGCTTTAAGCCCATCTCTACCCCAGACAGCAGGTTTGTTTGGGTCTCGCGTAAATCACCAAAGCGTCGATGACCGTATTCATGATATGACAGTTCATCCCCCTCCCAACCAGAAAACGCCGATACGATAACAAAGAAAAGAAAAAGGAAAGAAGGAAACCAGGAAGTGATAAATGGCTGTATATCATAAGTTCCTCCACCCTGTTTATGAAAACTCGTTGTCTGCCTCCTCAAAGTTGTTCTTGATCTGGAGAAGAACGGCCGCCTTCCAGTCATCGAGCCGGCTCATCTTATCGTACGCGGCAAGCTTATCCTGGAACATCTCGAGGTTGTTGTTTGAGGCTGCTTCCAACAAGTCAACCAGGAGTTGGTATTCGCGCTGACCCGTGAATGATGGGTCCTTCTCGGCGTACTTGGTGATGTTACGCTGAGCAGTGACCATATCCTTGGTCGCCAAGGAGCAGAGACCGGCCTTGAGGAAGTACTCCTTGACCGAGTACCTCATCAGGTTGTTGCCGAGTGACGCCTCCGCAACCTTCTCGAACTTCTCAATAGCGCCGAAAAAGTCGCCCGCGAGGGCAGAGAGGTCGGCCACCTTGAGCCACAGCTTGTTCGCAAGACTACACACAGCTGGTTAGAACGACTTGTTGGACTCGTAACATGGCGCAAAAGCCGTGGGCATCAATCACTTACGCGACAGCACCGTCGTTCTCGTACCACTCGGCCGCAATTGTATAGGCCTTGATAGCCTCTGGCTTATTCTGCAGCTCGTTTTCGTAGACCTCAGCCTGGTTCTCCTTGTGCGACGCAGCTCTCCGGAAGTTCCCCGCCATGGTATACTGCTTGATGGCAACCTCGACGCAGCGCACAGCATTATCCGGGGCATCTTTCCTATAGACCTTGAAGGCGTCCAACATGGCATTCGCCGCATCGTTGGGCTCCTTCAACTTTTCAGTGAAGATCTTGGCAGCTTCCTCGAAACACTTGCCGGCCTCGGTGTCTGGGTAGTGGGCAGAATGTTAGGACTTGTCGCGAGGTTCATATGGCCCGAAAGCGCATCGTGGGCGTTGATGATTGTGATGACGTACTTGACTTCTGCAACCTGAAAGCGTTGGCCGCCTGTATGTACTGATCCGCCGCATTTTGGTACTTTTCTTCCTTGTTTCCGAAGAGACCCCAGCCTTTGGACGCGCTTGCGAGGGTCTTCTCTGCCTGGTGTTCGCATTCGGCATCAGCAATGTGTCCATTGTCGCGAAAGTGTCAGGAGGGGCCAGGAGGGGCAGGTTCAAACCTCTTGTTGGAGAACGCGCGGATCGACAGCCATGAAGGGCAAGTTATTAGACGGTATATAGATGGGCAAAGTTCCAAGTTGGAGTCGCGTTCGCTGTATGAAGCCGACTGATGGGTGTCCCAATTGTTCGGAATCGGGCGCGCTCGAAGAAGCTCAGGTGTTGGTCGGGATGGTGTCGTGTTGGTGGTTGCAGGAGCCCGAGGTGTTTCGTTGTCTCCCGGGGTAAGGTATGCGGCATGGGATTGGGGGGGTTGGCCGGTATTGGGGGGGGGATGATCACTTTAGCGGGCTGTGATCGCTGATGCCGGCTCGCCAAGCCCTTGACGCCTGAACAGGTTCCCTGAGGGCTGGTAGCTTGCCTGACCAAGTGGCCCGGTGGCAGGGGTCTAGAGGTAGCCTCCCCTTCAACCTACCAAAGCTCAGCTATGACGCCCAACAGGTACCTCGCAAATGTCTCGTCAGTCCTCTTTCATCTCAACCTCTCATATCGCGACTTCTTACCAGAGTCTCACCTGAAACCACCCATCAAAGCATCAAATAATCTCTAAGCCACATCATATGCAGACCTCATAGAACAACGCAAGTCTACATCTCCCTTTCAGCTATACTACTTTGGATACCGAGGCATTTTCTTCCCATCAAGGCCATCATGACAGCAAAAACCATCTGCCGCGCCTGCCACCGCGCAGCTCTTTCAACCTCCTCGGTCCTCTCGGCCAGCTCCAGCTCCAACTCCAACTCCAGCCAGCCATCGACCCGTGATCTCTCCCGGTCACGATCTTTTACAACCGAAACCTTCCCTCAATCCACCGCCCGCGGCGGCTCCTCCAAACTCTCTCCACCATCACAAATCGACCCATCAGTCATCCTCACCACGCCAACCTGGTCCGTCCGCTCTCTTCTTCCTCCATCATCCACACCATCCTCATCAACCCAACCCGATGAAAGCGAAATAACCCCCCAAACTCTGCACCACCTCGCCCGCCTCTCTGCCCTCCCCCCGCCCTCCGCCTCCGACCCTGCCTCCACCACCCGCCTTCTCTCAGCTCTGCACTCACACCTGCACTTCGTGCGGGCCATCCAATCGGTGGATACCACGGATCCTTCAGATCAAGCCAAGGAGCTGGCGCCCTTGAGTTCGATCCGGGATGAGTCTCCGGAGGGACTGGCGGACATCACAATTGATCTGAAGATGCTTGAAGGGGCGCTGGCGGAGGAGGATATTGTTGGTCATTGCCGGCGGCCGAGGCGGAGAAAGATGGAGGAGCCGAAAGAAAAGAAGAAAAATGAGGCTGAGGATTGGGATGTGTTGGGATCAGCTGAGCAAAAGGTTGGGAGATACTTTGTTGTCAGGAGTGGGAAGAAGGGGGAGTAGATGATCAAGGGGGAAATGGCTGAAGTTCGTCTCGCGCCCTGGAGAAGATAGAAGGGCTGTGGTCTGCGTGGGCTGACTATATAAGAGGGCTATGGATCTGCTAACTGATGCCGAACAGTGGGGAGCCTGGAAGATTTGGAATAGGCCGGGAAAGGCGTTGTTATAACACGCAGGGCCGGGACTTTTAGGCCTTTCAGGGAATCGCGTCAGATGCCCAGCCTGTTTGCATTGGGAGTTCAAGTCTTCCAAGGGGTATTCATGGGACAAAAATCACTGAGTGAGGGACTACGTTGTTGCGTTGTTGCGATGCAAGCGCCACACTACAATATCTGTTTGCTGTACCATACTAAGTGTGTCCTACCCAGATGATCCACATCGGTCACCAGAGATTACTCTGGTATAGAAAGCTAACTGAACTGAAGCTAATCCTACAACTACTTAGATAACGTACGAATTCTGTCTCATTTCTCATGAGCCCTGCGTTGCCACCCCCTTGTCGTTGTCATAACATAAACATGAGCAGGAACTTAGGTCCCAAGAAAGCCAAAGTTAAACGTTCACCAATTCCCCCTCCCCTCCTTCCGACGAGTCGAATTCAGCGTTCACCTCTTGTTCTTCTTCCTCATCCGGGTCCTGATAATACCCGGATCATTTTTCGCAGCTTCCTTCGCCTTGTCTATCACCACAATTCCACGCTCGACGGCGTCTCGCTTCTTCTCACGCTCTCGCACCCTTTCTTCTGCGGCTACCATGGCTGCCTCATCTCGGCTAACCTGCTCTTGGTTGATGTCCTCCCAGTTGATGTGCTTTAGGATGCTACCGGCGAGGTACTGGTATCGGAGATGTCCACTGATCTTAGCAGAGACATCAACATTCTCGACACCATCGATACCCTCGATCCGCTGCAAACCTGCAACGCCAAACTGGATGCTGCTCGTCCGATACAAGAAGCCCAACAGGTAATCGTTCTCTGAAAAGACATTGACAAGCCGGCCAGAGACCACGCTCCTCATGGTACACCAGACGCGGGCTTCCGAGGGTGCGGGCGTACCCATCATGACGGCGTTCTCGACAAGACCGAAAGCTCTGCGCTCCGCCAAGACCATTAAACAGACATAGATCGCACGGGCGCCGAGACTGTAACCGATCAGCGTCACTCCACGCTCTCCGTGGGCTTTGTTCATGATGGCGTCGGCGAGAAGAGCTCCGGCCTTGTCAGCGCGGACCATGCCGACGCTCCAGGGATTATCGATAATTTTGTTGATCTTGAGCAAGCCGAGTGGCCAAAGGGATTCCGTCATGCTGGTGAAAACTGGACCATGTTTGTTAGCGCGTCTCGAGAGGTTACACTTTGGGATATTGAAAGGAGGCTCACTGGTCCGAGCAATGATTTCCTTCTTTGCCATGGACCATGCCGAGCTCCTTACGACAGTCTCCAAAGCTGTACCCATCTTCGAGAGCGAGTCCACTTCCCATCGCACAGCGTATACCTCGTTCGCCTGTCCTAAAGCCCTCCAGGGGTTAGTGACGTCCGACTCGTCGGTCAGCCATCCACTAATGGCCAGCACAACTCGGAGACGACGGGCATCTGGCTGGATCTTGCCAATCTCGCCATCTTCGCCAATAGAGCCGCGCATGGGGATGAAAGCGAAGTCCTGTATCTCCTTGGTACACTGCTCCATCAACTTGACCGAGGTTCTGGCGTTGTAGATACCGAGCAAAGCGCCGACAACAAAAGCACTCTCGCCCGTCGAACCTAATATGCCGGCGGAAGCAGTAGGTCCAAGCCCGAAACCTCCATTGACAGATCCGATTCCTGCAGCCACAAGGGGCGGAGCGAGATGGCCAGGTATCCCAAAGCTGCTAATTCCAGCCATACTTGCCAATCCGTGCCTCCATCTCCTGGATGGCTTCCCAGCACATTCCTCGATTCTTTTTTGGATCAGCTCCTCTGGATTGATATCCTTGGCCATCCACGCAATAGCCTTGGCAACGCGGACCTCGTCATCAACGAGAACGCGAAGAGGAAGGTTTAGCGAAGAGGTGATATGGAGCAGCAGCACCCGAGTATATGCGCTGTAATGCTCGAGTGAGAGCAGGAGAAGTAGCAGAGCGTGAAGCACCAGCAATCTTCTCTCTAGAGGCCAGTAGCAGAGCGTCGACGGGATCGGCGGGTAGAGCTGCATCAGAACAGGGTCGGACTCAATGTTGGAGGTTGAAACTCCTGTCATGGAATTAGCAGCCGTCGCACTATCTCTATATACGTGTCCCCGGTCACTAGGTGGAGTAAGTACTCACCGTTAGGCCTGTTCCTGCCTCGTCTGTTGTTTGGCAACGTGGAGTTGAAGTTGGCATCTCCAGCCCGCTTGACAGAGATGTCACCCATTCTCTTATGTACCGCTGTCTGCCATTTCTTGAAGTGCAGCATGGCTTCCTTCTTCAATTCCTGAAGGTAGGGCCCGATTGTCTTGTCATTGTCCTGTTCAGGGGCGCGTTGGATATTCAGGTTAGATGGGTTAGCTGGCTGCAGTGCAGCACCCGTGCTGTTTTTGGTGTCTCGAGCCATGTTTCCATTTTCCTTTTGGCTCCTCGAGGTCTTACCCTTAGTGCGCTTCTTGGGGTTCTGGAGCTGCGTCTCCACAGGGAGAGGCTTGGTGATGCTGAAATCACGCAAGTGGGCGGGAAGTCCGCTCCAGAACTTGTTACGAACCGAGGGAGCGTCATCGACCAGACCGGCTGAGTCGTAAACATGGGTAAAGTGCTTCTGCATGACATCGGTGGTTCTGGTAATGAGTGAAGTTAAGTCGTTCTTTTCCTGGGGTGACAATAAAGTGCTGAAGTCAGCCTCCCGCTTCGGGGGATTATGTCTTGGTCTGCCGCCGGGAGGCATATCCGCGATGGCACTGTCGTCAGAAGCTGTGTGGGAGAGGGTCGGTGAAGTTGGCGATGCTGCTTCGGCAGCGTCCTTGGGAGAAGGCAAGCCGGGAGGAATTGGGTTACAAGTCTTGAGGCCCAGGGCCTTTGAAGAGCGCACCGTGACCGCTGGCGCGGGAGCGTTCTTGAGTGCCGCCATGGTCAATTAGGAAGGCGACAAGGCGCAATGATTGAGTGCTCTTTCTGTTGTTGATTCTGACACCTCAGTCCCCGCCCTACCTTCGGGTGGATAGGTCACAGTAGAGGTGATTGCCCTGACCAATTGGTACAGCGCAGTAAACCGGGAGTTGTACTTGTCGCGGTGGTGTGGCGATGAGACGGACCGTATGAGGGGAGTGTATCGTCTCGTCAGAATGGAGACTGCAGTGCGCAACCAGAATTGCAACTGGAAGGTGTGGGCAATAGGTGATTGCCAACTGAGTGTGGAGTGACTCCAGTCGCCTTGTGGTCTGGCAGATCTTGTGACAGGTGACTTCCCAACCTGTTGAGTTCGCTCTCAGATTATACTTCCCCGCTAGGAAAGATAGAGGGAAAGAGCGATGGTCATTCTGTCTCGAATTGTTTGCTGTCTTGGGGGGCAGGCAGTTGCACTGCGGTACCACGATGATGTTCGCTTAGGCTAACCTTGGCGTTACAGGAGCCAGCCAGACTGTCACGAGGCCACGAAAGAGTGTCGTTCCTGCGGGTTTTTAGGCTGGATGGCCAGGTACGGGTATGTCGAATATTACCTTATGATCAGAGAATGCGGTCGCGCCAGGCGGTGTGGAGGGGAAACAGACAGAGGAAGGAAGAAAGGCCGAGAGGTCGGGCGTTGTTGTAGATAAAGTAAGATGGATTCTATGGGAAAGGGTCCTGGTCCCAAGCCGGGGGCGGGGATGCAAGGTGGGTGGGTGCAGAAGGGACCTGGGATATACAAGAGATCCGTTGGTCGGGAAGGACGCTGGGGATCGTGAAGGTGGACGGAAAGAAAGAGCAGAGAAAGGCAGTCCACGCAGTGAAGGGCAGTTCAGTTAAGGGCAGGCAAAGGCAGGATCACGGTGGAAGCTAGGAGTGTTCTACGCGTGGGCTGACTGCCGGAAGCTTTGCCAACAGCAAAAGGACGGCAATGAGGACCAGTGATGTTTGGCAAGCATCGAAACTCCCCTTGTGCGACGCGGGAGAGGCGGGGTGTTTGGTGGTGGTCTAGTTCTGAGGCAGCACAACGTCCAAAGAGGTTCACAACCTAAGCTCAAGGATCACGGACATAAGATCATTCCATTATGCTGCCATACCAGCTGCTGAACACGAACGTCCAAGTGGCATTCAAGGGGAGAAGGGTTCGCAAGCTTGACTATAGGCTGCAGTGGGCTGGACCGGCACCGCTCTCTATTGTTGAATTGCTAGGGCACGCAAGCCTAGCCGCGTGAATGAGAAAACGCACCGCGGAGCTGAGGACTAACTGAGCAAGCCTTGATGGATATAAAAAGGACACTCAAGAATATGTGCCACCCTTTGGTACGGCCTCAGTCGTCAGTCAACATCCAAACCTCCCATCCTCAGTCTTTGACATCGATGTAAGTGGAAACGGACGCAATTGCCCGAAGACCAACGAAAAACTTCAAAGACCCAACACGCACATGTAGTAAAGCATATGCCATGGACATATGGACACCCAACAAACTATTTTGTTTGTTTGCAGCGGTCCCTTCCCGATCATACAATGAGGCTCAATTCAGGGGTGTTGTTGGAACTTTGGTTCAGGGTTGAAGCAATGATCTGCCTTCAGGGTTGTGAGGGAGAGCAGTGCGGACGCTTGCGCTGGACCTATCAGGGGACCCTTGTCAATCCGGCTTCCTTCCCGCAGGCGATCTTCGCCCCACCTTTTGATTGGATGCCCTGCGTTGACTCTTGGTTTTTTATTTTGGCAGAGGGATGTGGAAGGTGGAATGACGAAGCGGGGACGTGGGGGAAAACGGGAAGGGTACCTCTAGCGCCAAAACCGAAAACCTTCAGCGGCTGCGATTCTTCCGTCATCAAAGGTTGCTCTAACGGCCATCGACCCACACTACACCGAGGCGTGTTAAGTAACGTGTCCCACACTGAATGCACACACCTAGCCCGGTATACCTCCTGCGTACTACACCCAACACACCTTCAAGTTCGTTCGCCTTCAGCGTACGGTATTCCAAGTCTAGAAGGTACTGCAACCTGCCGACCAATACCCATTGCACGACGAGTCAAGGGAGACAGGCCGAGAGCTAGCTTTCAGATCGAGATAACAGAACAGCCTGGAACCCCGCGACAAGAGTCGCATGAAAATTCCAGTTCCTGCCAGGCACGCTCCTCGTCAGCAGCGGCGATCACACAAACTTCCCCAGACTCCGTCAGACCGCAATTGTTGTCGCATGACCGGACGGCCTTCAAACGACGATCACCTAACTCATTTTTCGAACAGATCACACCACCCTTGAAACCGCGCCTTTGTAGAGAAGAAAAGAAAAGAAAAAAGAAGAAGAAGAAAAGAAGCGCTCCCGAAACCTCATCTTCTCCCAGACCCGACTACCTCTACGACTACCTACCGCATACACACAACCACCCGTTCAAACACATACGTCCCAAAAACACAACAGCAAACTTTGATACAATCACACAATGACCTCCGTCGCCCAACGGCAAGCGCAGCCTGCGCAACCATCCACCAGCCAAACCGCTGCCCCAACCCGAACCCAAACCGAGACCTCTTCTCCGGCCATCTTGCGACTTCGCGGCGCACACTCGAACGGGCGATCTGTACAATGGCGTAGCGATGTCGTTGACAACGAAGGTCTCGGCAGGAAAAAGTCCAAAGGTTAGTTGATTTGGGTTTCCCTTCTGTCCCCCACCCTTCAATTGCCTTGCGCGCACACATGCACATTCTGATAATTACATATGCTAATACCACCGGTCGGCCACAAACAAAACAGTCTGCTGCATCTACCACCGACCAAAAGGCGTAGACGAGTCCAGTGACGATTCTTCTTCTTCCTCCGACTCATCATCCTCTTCCGATTCCGACTCGGACCCAGAACCTGATCAAGATAAACGAATCACATCTGGCGGTGGTAGTAGTGGCAGGGGCCACCGGCATTCCCATGATCACGACCATGATCGCAGGGAGGGTGGTTGTAACCACGACCATGGACGTGGGAGGAAACACGGCAATAAAGGAAAAAAGACGGAAAGGAGGCCGAGCCCGAATGCGTATGAGAAAATGCCCAAGTATAAGCCGAAGGATGGAGGGGCTGAGCCTTCGAATTCAGAACCGCAAGGTCCTGGGGGAAGTAAATGATGCAGGGAACAACACGAACGTATGTTTAAAAGTCGAATTTCTTTTTGGGGGCAATTGTTAGATACCATGGGAAGAAAAAAAAAAAAAAATGAGCACGAAGGCTGGGTTTGTCTTGGTTTTGGCTTTCTGAAGCCATAATGAGCACGTGTATGGGCTGCTTCTCGTTAGATATCATTCTTCGCTAGGTGTCTTTGTTATTCGACTTCACGAGTCAAATAACAATCGATATACACATGTATCTCACTATAACGGCCTCAGATATTCAAGACATCCAGCAACGCAGAAATGTGCTACTGCATTCTAACACATTTGCCCATAGACACCTTAAGTGACTCTATCTTATGTAACGGCTATACAGAGCTTCCCAATGTTTAAGATCGTACAAGAAATCTAACCCATCCATGTAAAGACAACCCTTCCAGACCTTTTTAGCTCACAGCGCCAGACGCCACTCAACGTTATCCCACTAGTGCAACAGCCAAGTCTGAGTCTGCTCCTTCTCACCCTCGGCAGCCCAAGTAACCCTCAAGTTCAATCCGCGCTCGTGATTCTCGGCGGTGATATACTCAATCTCGCCTGCAATCTTCTTTCCAGGAGCCGGCTTCGTCTCCTTGACCTTGTTCTTGTCCAGCAGCATCAGGCCCTGTCGCCAATGGGTAGGCTCACCAAACGGCCCGGTAGTAAAAGCCACCCGGGCGTCCTTATCGCCGCCCTTGCCGGCCGTCTCAGCCACCCACTCCTGCGCCTTGGTGTCCAGCTTGATGGACTCGTCGACGCGGTTGCGTGCGAAGAAAACGTCCCACCAGACGAGGAAGCCGTCGTGGCTCTCGGCCTTGTCGTCGAAGGCGCTCTGCCACTTAGCCGTGAACACGAGGTCCTCGACCTTGACGGTGTGGAAATCCAACAACCCGAACGAGGCCGGGGTGCCGCACACGGTCTCGGCGGGGCGGACCTCCATCCGGCAATCCTCGTAGATGCCCTTCTGCATCACCTTCATGTCGAAGCCGTACACGTCGCGCCAGAAGTCAACGTACTCGGCAATGTACTCCTGTTCCGACACGGGCGCGATCCACATGTTGCCGTGGCTGGGGACGAGCAGACCTTGGGGAGCCAGGTACTTGTCGCGCGCCCACAAAACGCTGTTGAGCATGGCCTCGTACAGCAAGCAGTAGCCCATCCACTCGGACACAATGATGTCGACCTTCTCGACGGGGAGGATCACCTCCTCGATGCGGCCCTTGAGGGTAACAATCACGTCCGAAAGCCCGTTGGCGTAAATGTTCTCGCGCGCCTTGTCGATGATTTCCGAGCGGTCGACGGCGATAACCTGCTTCGCACCCGCCTTGGCGCAGAACATGGACAGGATACCCGTGCCGCAGCCAATGTCGAGGACGACCTTGCCGGCGAAGAGGTCCTTGTTTTGGTAGATGAAGTCGCGGTAGGCTTCGGTGCGGACCGTGTCCTTGAGCATGGTCTCGTGGATGTCGTTGTGCGCGTACGACTCAAAGTAGTAGTCGGAAGCACCCTCCTTGGCGGCAGGACCCTCGGGGGCCGGGCCTGAAGGCGCAGCAGCAGCAGCGGCGGCGGCGGCCTTGCCCTTGGTAGCATCCTTGTCGTCGTCATCAGCCTGCCAGCGCTGATCGAGGGTCTGCTGGACGGCAAGGCGGTAATTGGAGAACTGCTTGGACAGCTGCTCGAGCTGAGCCTGGAGCTCGGCGTTCTTTTGGATCAACTCATCCACAGCAGGCGCATCCGCGCCCTTCTGGGTGCCGGCAGCAGAAGCCTCAGCGCCGGTACCGCTGGACTCAGGGAGATCATCCAGGCACAAAATCAAGGCGTCGTCATCAAGGACGGGCTTGAGATAGCGGTCATCCTCCAGATCGGCGGCAGTGATCTCAGCGGGAAGAGGGACGCCTTCGTGAACCTTGGAACGGACTAATATGTTGTCAGTAGGCTGACTATTTAGCTTGTGGAGACTGGAGACATACTGAAGTTGATAAGCTTGATCAAGCCGTAGAAATCCAAGTTGAGACGGTCGCGAATGGCAAGGAAATCAAGACCCTTATCCTTGCAGTAGTTCAGCATGGAGACAACGTCGGGGAAGACATGGTCGTCGAGCAAGGAGATGATAGCGGGGGCCTCCTCTTGCTCCTCGTCCTGGTCGAGCCACTCATCCTCGTCGCCAGAAGAAGAAGAGGCATCAGAGCCAGAATCAGAGCCGGAGCTATAGTCGTTACGACGGGGTTCGGACTGAGCCGCCGAAGTTAAAGCTTGAGCGGCCATGATATGGTGGTTTGCCTCGAGGTACTTGACTTTGCTATGTCAGGTACAAAAATGTGAACAACAACCAAGATCACAACAAGAAACGTGGTTCTTGAAAGTGTGTTGTGAGGTTGTTGGAGCCTGGTCGTCAAGGTGCGCAGGCTTTGAAAAAAATCAGAAATTTCCACTTGTGTAAATTGGTAGTGTAAAGCAGTACCTAATTAGGTTGGCTGCAGTTGCAGCGTCGCCCAAAAATTGCGGGGAAACACATGCCGATAACGAACGCCTATTCGAACATCGAGCGCCAAACACGTTCTCGGAACTTGAAATGTACATATATGCTAATAATTCCCGTTTGTTTATTATTACCTTCTTCCTGACTGTTTTCGTACATGCCGCAATGGTGTAGTAATGATTCAAGGACCAAGCTTCTTGGGGCTTTTAGCGGATTGTGTCGTTCTCCAACAACCACCCCAAGATCCAGCCCCTTTCCCAGCTTCAGATCCAGTTGCCTGGGCAACCAGCCTTTCCAAAAAGCCAGAGAAGAAGTTATTGTCTGATCCAGTACGCCCTTTCTCTTGATCATGTATTCATGAAAATGTACAGTGTAAAATCTACAGTATCACCTAGCAGCCCATCGCTCTATGTGCTCTTGTTGCTCCCTTGCCAATCGTGCCTGCAAATTATCTAACCCCCAACAACGCCGGCAACTCCTTCACACAACCCAGTAGACAAAGTCAGGTATTCGATGAAAAATAAGGAACGGAGAAGAGGGCCCAGCAAAGAGCACTCCAGCAATATTCCAACCTTACACTTCAAGAAATTCAAGCAAGCAAACCGTCCTGAATCCAACCCATAAGCAAATCTCACGTATGTCTTTCTCACAGGCGGACGCTCGCCCCTATTCCCCTTCCAACATACCACAGCGTCTCTGTCCAGGATCCAATCCTGACACTGACAGTAGCCTTCGCATCAAGCTTCAGCCTACCACCTAACGCTTCCTTCACCTTATCACGTCCAACCGAATCCAGAGACCAGTCCACCGGCAACCTAGGCGTGGTAGACACCCCCGGAGGGCAGCCAAACGGTGAATCATACTTGATTCGTCCGATTTCCTCCGTGTGATTGTACAGGGCCGTAGCATTGATGTGCTCGATATATATCGTGTTTCGTGAGAAGGGCGAAGCTAACGTAAATGTGGCTTGAGAAGAGAATATGTGAAAGGTCGCACCCCGAATAAAGTGAGGAGCCGTATCATTGGTGTTGCCGTCCCCATCGTGTCGTCCACCTTCATCGTCGCCAGGCACGCTAAGTCTAGGCATTGGGAGCGTGAAGTTGAATTTTGACAGCGCTTTGCCCAGCTCTGGCTTTGATGGGATAGTACCCGGATGTGTTCTAAGCGTCACGGTTGTGTTATAACCGGATATGTACTGCGAAATCAGATCCCGGCCGATTTGCACGCCATCTTCTCCAGCCAAAGAAGGCCTCCATAGTGCCGTCACTTTCAGGTTTGTATTGTTTCCACGCTTGATGGTTAGTCTCTTTGCACGCGCCTCGCCGAGAACAGTTCCATTATTCAAAATGTTGATGCTAATCCAAGGAATGTAGGCCGCGTATGGAGTAGGGTTAGTTACGTTAACTGACGCCTGTAGAGATATTGAGACTGGGCTAGTGTCAACAACTTCCAGTTCTCCCACTTGAGGCTGCATAGAGCCGAGAAGATCGTTTCCAAGGGCTAGTGAAGGAGCGAGATGTCAGTGTTCTGAGATGTCCATAAAGTATGTGTGAGCGACTGATGGATAGCATCGACAAGAGATGCATAATCGCCAACAGCAGCAAGGTGACTGACAAAATATCATTGGAGAAGAGACGGACGTTTGAGCGGAATTCTGCCCTCCGCGGGGACACCCTTCACCACAAATTGTCCAAGAATTGTATGTACACCAACGTCGACAAGAGCGCTGATGTCGAGAATGACATCGGCGTCACCAAAAAGGAGGGCCTGAATAACATCGGTCAACACGTCATCGTCGGTAACCTTGAGCGGTGTATCATGAACGCGTGATGTGATCTCAATCAAGTTTTCTTCACCGGGACCGCCGTCGATTTGAATGGAGCTGGCCTTCTCGTCAATTTCCAGTTCGCCTAGCTTCTTGGAGTCATAAAACACATCCGCTTTGGCCTTGACACTGGAGACGTTCAACCCAATATTCAGTTCCGATGGGAGGGCTGCCAAAGCGACGATAGTGCCCGACACTTTGGGGTTCGAATTGGGGTCGTCGGGATCTGCCAACGGGTCTGGCAAGGAGAATGATACGTCCGTCAAAGAGAAGTTACGAATCAAGTCGTCAAAGGATTGTTGCGGAAGAGGTACAGGGACCGTAACACTGGAGATGATATCCCCGATCCAACCAGGGACCTCTCCACCTTGATCTTTCTGACCTCGTACGAGAACCGATACAGGCTCACCTGCAACGTAGGCTTCAAAGAGCTTGTCCAACGGCGACAAGGTTCCACCAGGACAGGGACGGGTAAGAGGCTCTGGCAATTCTTCAACGATGGAATGGGCGGTGACTTCGACATCGGCTTCCGGCCTAAGAGCAATGACATCGGTTAGGGCGGTAGCGATAGAAATGGCCGGGCCATGCTTCTTGCATCCCGGAACCGAGACCTCGAACTTGAGCGCGGGTACGTCAAAAGCAACTGGATAAGGGTTGAAGGTGGTGATGGTAACGTCGGCTGCCATTCCCTGCCTATCATCGCCGGGTAAGGGCCTCTCTTCAAAATTAAGACCGGTAATGTTGTAGGAGGGGAGCGGGGGCAATTCCTTGCCTACAATAAACGTATCAGTATGGATTCAAGGCCATTGTGGTGGAAGGACACAACGTCGGGGCATAGCACATGTTTGTTCTCATTTATAAGAATGACTTTTCGCCAAATAACAATGCTGCGAAGGGACGGTAGAGGGATTGACCTTCAAACTCCATTGTTTCCGAAACAGCGTGCGTTCCCAAGGGAATGTTGAATCTTGTCTTGACCGTGATCTCCGTTATTCCCCGTACACGAATTGTATCCATCTTCCCGCCCAAGAACTGATTTGCAATGGTCCGAATGGTATCGGCATCACCAGGAGCCAAATCGGCAACGATATCAAGCTCAGTATTGTGGCCATTCGCGATGGCAATCGTCAAGGGAGGGAGGCCAGCAGTTCCGAGCAACATGTTGTCGTGATCAATCCAGTAGACCTTGACCCTCGTCTCCTCTGTTGCCAGCTCTTTAGCCAGCCACGTGGTGAACTGGCCGACTCGTCTAATATGGACATTCTTGACACGCTGAGCATCAAGACGGAAGTTTGCTTGGATTCGCGCACGGACGCCGTCGGTAGTGATAGACTCGAGCGCCAAGTTTGTCGGCTCGATGACGATAGCCTCCTTGGCATATTTCTCAACCGCAGCTGGAACAAAAAAAGCGCCAATAGCGATGGAGGTTGCGAGCCCCATCAACAATAGTGCGGCGATAATGGAGGGCCATCGCGTCGACTTCGTGGTCGACCGCGCTGGTGGTACTCCATCTCCAGAATGAGAAGCCCCAGCCGAGACCAAAGAAGCTCTGTCTGGATTATCGCGTCCGTCATAGCGTGGTGTTGTGTTGGACGTCGAAAGCAGAGGTGTAGATTCGAGTGCGCCATCGGTTAAATCGGCCAGTGTTTTGGTATCCCTACTGCTTGTCGACGCCGCGAGCAGAGGGGACCGCTCGGTTTCGAAGTCGGAAGACGACATGTCGAAACGATGGTGCTGGATTCGGTTCTCAAGCCCTCATGAATGAAGTGTAAAGACTGAAATGGGCAATGAGTGGATGAATGATCGCAGGCAGACGAGCAATGGTAGATTGCCGTGAAGCTTGGACGCTCCTGCGATAACGACAACAACGGACGAGTTAAACGGTCGGGTGTTGGCACGGAGGTACCTCTAGATACTAGGTTGATCAAGGATAAGATAAACTGATAGGCTAGAAGAACTTGATATAATGAACAATATGTCTAAGGAAATTGATGAGAATGAATCGATGAAGTATAGTATGGACGATTTATACTGAAATGGTGTTGCAACAAAGCAGGACGGTTGGTGTTTCAGCGACGTTGAGATTGAAGTTGGGCTCGCAGCCGACACATCAAGTCTTCGGATACGGAGGTACCTAGATCACGAGCCATGCACTAACAACATGATGCGTGAGCTGGCGCTATTTTACAGGCTGACAGTGCCTTTATGCAGTTAAGGTAGTGCTGCACCAAGACGGGACTACACCAAAATAGCGGCTTCAACAATAGTGTATGCCCACAAGGTTGCCCTGTGCGCGACCGGGATCAGCTTCCGCTTAGGTTGATTGGCCCAGCCCGTGCCTGCATCCCCTCGCTCTTGGTTTGCGTGACCTCCGGCGCCGGAACACGGAAGGATACTCTTTGCCCTCACCCTTCCGCGAGGTCGCGATGGGACCGGTGACCGGATGTGCCTGTTCGTCGGTTGCATCCAAATTCCCAGTGGATGGATGATGGACGACTGAACGGCATGGGTGGGGCCGCAACCCCGAACTTGGAGAAGCCCAGGGGCAGTCCAGCTTGCCCAGCGGCTCCAGACACCCCACCGGCTTGTCCCGTCGTGGTGTGGAGTGAAGCTCAAGTAACCAACCATTGAACAAGCTCCAATTCGTCAGACCTGCATGTACCCGTTCCTCACACTAGGGTTCTTATCCTGAATGACACACCTCATGCTGAGCTCCATTGGTGGTTGGAGGCGGGAAACGGCTGCGACTGGGCTATTTGATTGTGAGCGTGAAGGAACTGAGTATGTAAGACAGTTCAAAGAGAGAGAAAAACGATAAAAGCAAGAAAGATAAAATATAGAGTTGGAAGACAAACGTGCAGATAGCCGGTATCGGTGCAGTTTCAAAATCAAAATGTTGTGCAATTCAACTCTTGGCTGTTATCTTTTGGCCCAAGAGACCTATCCCCTGCTACCAAGCTCATCCCCGTAAGGGCCCTCAACACTGAGCTACTTAATCGTCTTGTTCCTTGACTGTGGGTTTGCAGACTGGGAAGAGGCTATTCCGAAAGTCTGGGGCTGAAAAGAGAAAGGACGAAAGACCAGGGTACGTACCTGTGAAGAGTCACGGTTCGCGAATTGATTCATAAAGGAAGTGGAAAGGGCCTTGACAAACACTAGTACTGCAGCTTTCCCCCCAGGGCCACTCTTCCTGGCTGACTCACTTTCCAACTTCTTTCACAACTCATCTCGCATTTCTTAAGATACCCCATTGCACTTTTTCTTCGTTTGACATTTCTCTCTTTCCTTGTCCTCACCAGATACCCGTTGTACCTCTCCATCGCCATCATGATGTCCCGGGCAACGACTCGCACCATCAAGTCCGCTGTCGGACAAATCCAGGCTCGCTCTGCGTCCAACAGCGCCGCCAGCAGTACCCCCCGCCATCTTCTCTCCATCAGCCAGCTCAGCCCTGCCGAGTTCTCCAAGCTTGTCCTCAATGCTTCTGCTTACAAGCAGGCCACCAAGGCCGCCTTCGCTGCTGGCCCCGGTCAGGTACCCCGCACTTTGGACGGCAAGCTAAAGGGACGGACCGTGGCCATGATGTTTAGCAAGCGAAGCACCAGGACCCGTGTCTCGACCGAGGCCGCTGTGGCCCTCATGGGCGGCCACCCCATGTTCCTCGGCAAGGATGACATCCAACTGGGTGTAAGTGTTAACTACCGTCTCGGCTCCATCGTCTCCCCCCTGCCTAAAAGAGACACATACATGCGCAACGACCAGCACCTCGATCACTAACGACACTTTCCACAGGTCAACGAGTCTCTCTATGACACTTCCAAGGTCATCTCCTCCATGACCTCGTGCATGGTAGCCCGCGTCGGTCCTCACTCCGACGTCGCTGACCTCGCCAAGGACTCGTCGGTACCTGTCATCAACGCCCTGTCCGATGACTTCCACCCGCTCCAGGCCATTGCCGACTTCCAGACCATCCACGAGGCTTTTGCCACCAAGCCCGCCCACGAGGCCAGCCTCGGACTCGAGGGCATGAAGGTCGCCTGGGTCGGCGACTCTAACAACGTGCTTTTCGACATGGCCACCGCCTGCGTCATGCTGGGCGTCGACATCTCGGTCGCCTCGCCCGCCGGCTATGGCATCCCCGACCGCATGAAGCAGATCATCCTCAGCGCCGCCGATGGCGTTGCCAAGCCCGGAAAGCTGATCGAGACCACGGTCCCCGAGGAGGCCGTCAAGGACGCTGATATCCTGGTTACCGATACCTGGGTGTCCATGGGTCAGGAGGCCGAGACCCAGAGGCGTCTCAAGGCGTTTGCCGGCTTCCAGATAACCAACGAGCTGGCTAAGCGTGGCGGCGCGAAGCCCGGCTGGAAGTTCATGCACTGCCTTCCTAGGCACCCGGAGGAGGTTGATGACGAGGTTTTCTATGGTCCTCAGTCCTTGGTCTTCCCCGAGGCCGAAAATAGGCTCTGGGCTGCCGTCTGTAAGTGAAGCGATCTATATTCTGCCCCGGATGAAGCTTGAGCTAATCACGTTTGTACTTTTACCTAGCTGCCCTTGAGGCTTTCGTCGTCAACAACGGCAGGATACTTTGAGCAAGAAGCGATATGACAAGGTTTCTTTTGGTTGCATCTTGGTTCCATCCACTCTTCGTACATCGTAAGCATATCATGGCAGCAGTAAGGCAGGCGTTGTATTCCATGGGTTAAGGGGGTTTGGTTGGTTGATATAACCATATTCTCAGATACACACAAAAGTTATTGGCTTTTTTTTTTTTCCTCCTTCACATCGGTTCGTCTTACTGTATTCTATCTAGACGGGTAATCAGACAAAAGAGAAACGACATAAAATGATGACGGATTTTTCGAGATGTTGCAAAAGGCTGATCAACTATTTTTCATGTGTTTCTTGTAACGCCGCTGCAGCTATTTGAATAGACGAGGCACATGGAGACAATTCTGCAAAGTGCGAAAATAAGAGGACCAATTGACCAATCCGATCCACAACTCCTGGGTAAATCCTTTCCCATTTTTTCCCTTTCCTTTTGCACACACCGTCCCTTGTTTAACCAGGGGGGAGCTGGCTAGCATCAACAACGTCATCGGCCTCCTTCACATGGGTCTCCTCGCCGTGCTCGTAGAGAGGAGAGCGGGGCAGGGCCATGAGACCAGTACGGGCGGACTCAAGAATGCCGAAGGGGGCAATGAGCTTGAGGAAAGAGTCGATTCTGACGGGCTTCGCGGAGCTGTGGAAGAGTGGTTAGTATGTAAGCTTGACAGGGGCGCGAGACCAAAGGGTGACTCAAACTTACACTTCGACGATGCAGCTGTTAGTGCTAATATCCAATACCTTGCCGCCGAACTGGTGGGTGAAGTATGTGATGCTCTTGAGATGCTCATGCTTGTGCCTCAATGCCTCGCTGGCTACCAAGCGGCTGGGGTGGAAGTCCTTGGCAGTCTCCTCCAGGCTGTGCTCGCCGCCATTCTCGAGCTTGCCAGATTCGCCCTCGGTGGCCTCGGCGGTGATCTCGCGGTGGTGAGCGAGAAGTTCCTCAAAGTACTCGGGGCCGAGAATGTTGATCTTGGCCAAGAGCAACTCTCTCTGCACGAGAGCGGCCTTGCTGTAGTCGAGAACGGCCCAGACGGGGACCAAGTCCTCCAACTGCCTGCGCGCCTGCTCAACAACACCGTCCTGACCGGTCAGGACAATGGTCATGCGGGAGAGATCATCAACCTCGGTGTTGCAAACAACGAGCGAGTCGATGTTGAAGCCTCTGGCAGCCAAGATACCCGAGACGCGCGACAGCACACCAGGCTCGTTCTGGACCAAGCAGTTCAGGATGTGACGCTTGGGAGGGGCGAGCGAGGGGGAGGGCGTCTCGTAGAGGATGTTGGAAACGGCGGCCTGGGCGGACGACCAGGCAGGAGGAGCGTCGGCAGCGGGGAGAGGCGCATGGCGGCGGCGGATGGCCTTGTAGGCAATGGCAGAGGTCGAGCTGCTGTGGGAGCTGTAGCGGACGCCAATGGCCGCCGGAAGAGACTGCCGGGCGACGGGAGCGGCATCCCTTGCCTTCGCCGATATCCGGCGCAGTGGCGCGGACATCACGAGGCCGCGAGACGCCATGGTCGTCGCGAGTATGATGTATAGAGAGAGCGAAGTTTGCTTCACTGCCCCTCGTGCAAATCGATCCGGAGCCGACGAGTACGTATGCTACGGTGGTGGTGAGCTGGGAGGGGGGAGGTATGTACAGATAGATGGAGGCACGAGATGGGTTGGAGGATGGCGACGAGGTCCCGTCAGGAAATCCAGGATGGATCAAACCCACTGGATATGTTTTCACCAGCCGCTAGTGACTCACCCGAACATCGGAGCTCGATGGAGGATCAGTGATTAACACAGGGCTCTAGACGTGGCTCCAGGCCCTCGTTGCTAGCGGGATGCACTGGCGATGTGACCGATGTGACCGCCGATTGTGGAGGCCGACATGGATCGACCAATGTAAAATAGAGGAGCCCCAGCTAGTCCCAAGCTCGGGTTGCCGAATGGTAGTGTCGCAAATTTGCCTGTCTGCCGGCCGAAACCCGCCCGGGCCTCCAGTCGTGGCAGTTGAAGCTCCATCGTTGTGGTGCCGTTTCTTGTTCAACCTAGCTTATCGGCATTGTAGTGTAGCTTGACGCAGTCGGCTGGACACTCAGAAGAATGAAAGACAATGAAGGGGACACTCAGCAGATGATCTCAGCCATGTTGGCCTAAAACGTCATGACTTGACCATAGGTTGTATTCAGATGAAAAAGTGGAAAAGTCGCAACCGGAGCGCAGACATCCAAACTCGGTGTGGCTCAACGTCCTGTCTGGAAGATCCGTCGTCCAACTGGCAAATCTGAACTTCAGTCGTCGGGTACTTATCACTGTCCCGGAATTTCTACCGGACTGGGCGCCGTGCACCTTCGTGGCCCGGCGATACTTACCTGCCGCTTCCACTTCTGCAATACCATGCCGTCCTGAGATCGAGAGCCCAAACCACCAAACCGGAAACGATCCACAGCATTTTGGGTCCAAAGAGCCAATCATAGACGAACCTGACGGCGCGCCCGATGCTCCACGTCTTACAGCCTCGTGGGTTTTCACAAGTCTCCACAGCCAACCCTTTCCCTTTGACGGGACAGGCTTAAATGTCATGCACTGGCGGCTGGTGTCTTCAAAAGGTCACGGTCCAACTCCAACTAGTGGTCTTCAACACAGGCGGCCCGTTTTCTTTTTCGTTTTTGCAAAGTTCAGAGTTCAACAATTCTTACTAGGCACCCACTGATCGTTTCTATTCTTGGGCGCGACAAACCACGCCTCCATCAGCAGCCCATTCGACACACTTTACACACCAACCCGGTACCCGACCGAATCGCTCCGAATATGGACGACGCAGAACGTCGGAGCGCGAAGCGCTCTCGCTTTGACCAGACCGAGCCTGAACCTAAGAGAGTATCACGCTTCGACCGCCGGTCTCGTTCTCCTCCCGCAAGGAAGTCGGACTCCGGCCGGGATCGCGACCGCAGCCCTCTTTCCAAACCCCGTGATAGCGTGACTCCCGATTCCACAAAGCCAGCAGTTGACCCTGCTGCCGCCGCTGGTATGCATTTAGCTCGCGATATAGAGGCCTGTTGTATCAATTTTCGCTGACCGCTTTGTAGCTGCCGCTGCCGCCCGTATTCAAGCCCAGCTTCAGGCTCGTAAAGGAATCCAACACGTCGATGTCCCACCCGTTCGATCTGCCGGTACTAGAGAGGGCAGCGTCCCCGCGAATATCAATGGAGAGATGTACATTTCCGATGGAGACTTCATCAAGGATATCGAGGTCAACGATCTCCGTAACAGATATCTCTTGACCAAGGGTTCGACCCAGAAAATGGTAATTACTCCTTGGTTAACCCACTGATCAACTGTCAGCACTCGCGAGACCGCATCTGTCTTGTTAGCGTCTCCGTTATTGCTGTTCAATCTTGTGCGGGGTACTCTTGCTTACAGGAGGCATGGTAGCTCGCACAGGGCCATCCACATTGCAACTGCTGACCTTGGCTGCTTGAATATAGATCAAAGATGAGACTGGTGCCGGTATGCCCCGCCTTTATACACGTTAAGTTTGGAGAACTGTTCATTGACCGTTTTCTGTTCAAGATGTCACCACTCGCGGTAGCTACTACCCCGACAAGAGCATGGCGACACCTGCGGTATGTGATTGCTTCTTGAGACTGGTCTACAAGTTCTCGTCGCTGATGCATTTGACTTCAGAACCCTCCGCTGTATCTGCATGTCACGAGCACGACCAAGGAAGGTTTGGAAAAGGCCGTTGCCAAAATCGAAGAAATGATGAAACAAGAACTTCCCCAACTCGTTGACGAACGTCGTTTCCGCCGCAGGGACCAGGAACAGGTCGAACGTGATGAATACGGTCGTGTAAGTCCAAAGTCCCCTCAGCTATGTTCAACTGGCGCTAACGTGTTTTCAAGCGCAAATGGCCGGAAGAGAGAATCCCCATCAATCTTGAACCCGTCCCAGGATTCAACCTCCGCGCCCAGGTGGTTGGTCATGGTGGCGCTTACGTCAAGCATATCCAGCAGGAGACTGGCTGCCGAGTCCAAATCAAGGGCCGTGGCTCCGGTTACATCGAGGCATCAACAGGCCGCGAGAGCGACGACGACATGTATTTGCATGTCGCTGGGCCCGATCCTAAGATGGTAGAGAAAGCCAAGGAGCTTTGCGAGGACCTGATGGAGAACGTCAAACAACAGTATGAAGAGTTCAAGAGCCGTCCGCCCCGCCAGTACAACGGTCCTAGGGATTACCGTGATCGGGAGCGGGAGCCCAGAGGTGGCGACTCTTACCATGGGCGGGGCTACAACAACAACAACAACAACAGCAACAACAACAACCACAGAGATCACCATCATGGCGGGCACCACGACAACAGCCATCACAGCAGCTACACCAACTCGCCTGCTCCTGGTGGTGGCCCTTCGGTCGCGCCCCCTACTCCCACGGCTCCTGCAGCGGCCACGACGGATTATGCTGCCCAATATGCCCAATACTACGGCGGCGCTGCCGCTACTGACCCTTATGCTGCAGCTGGTGCGGCTGACCCATACGCCGCGTATGGTGGCTATCAAGCGTAAGTGAAATCCGATTTTATTAGTGATAGCTAGCTAATGGTTTCAATAGCTACGTCCAACTGTATCAACAATGGTATGCCGCTCAGGCTGGACAGGTAACTCCTGCTGCTGCGGCTACTGGTGTTCCCGGTGCCCCCGGTGCTTCGGCATCTCCTCCACCTCCGCCTCCTACTGAAGCAGCCCCCCCTCCGCCTCCTCCCCCATCGTCTGCTGCCCCTCCCCCACCTCCGCCCGGCGCTCCTCCCGGACTGTCTGGTGGCTATAGCGCGGTATGTAAAGCCCCATGTCATGACGATTAAACACTTGAACTAACCGTCTTCCAGGTCCCCCCGCCCCCTGGCCTCTGAAAACGGCACGTTGACGACATTAGCAGCTTAGAAAGCCAGCGAGTGCTTAGGCTTAGTGGTTAGCCTTACATTCTCTTACAGCTGATGCTTCGGCAGGGATACGAATTCCAAAGAAGATAAAAAGATATTGGCTTAAGCCAAGGGTAAAGATTGTTTTCCATTGTTCAGGATTATCTCATCACACTAGGCTGCTGCCCAGACGAGGGCCGATTAATCTTATAAAACATGACGAAGTGGTGGCACACTGACTCATTACAATAGCGACGCAGTCCCCGATGAGTGATGTGGAATAGGGGAGGCCATGTAAGACGTCTACAAACGCTTTATTTTTCTGTGACGTTTTGCCAACAATGCTGCACAGGTCTCTCTCTTTTCGGTATGTTATGAGCGCATGGTAGGACTTGTTGGTTTTAGAGATGCTGCTGTTATTGAAGTCTAGGTCCAGAAGTAGCGAAGAGTCTGAGCCGGACGCTTGATCAGGTAGGTAGATGTTTGATTCGTACACTAAAACGATGTGCACAGTCAACATCCCCCGACCTTGTTGGTACACTCGGTCGATCTTTCATATCCATGCTTGCGCTTCAATATCTCTTTATCAAAGCTTCTCAGGTTCTCTTCACGCAAATGTCTATAGTCAAAAGGGGGTAGCAAAGCTCTAGCAGGGAATAGTCATCACACAAGAAGAAAAATAGGAGAACTAGAGAATACATGTTGATTAGACCATTGGTCGAATTGCCGCCATTGTGGACGGACCTTGTGCTTGTTGGCAATAACAGCAATAGCTTCAAGATGATACGGCGGTACACTAGAGGTAGGTAGAGGTACCTATCCACAGAAGGCTTTCAGGAACGGGTGTGCAGTAACAAATACCCCTGAATCTCACAGTGATGTCTCCCTGCTGCCCGCGTGCCAGTCTCCACTCAAGCTCCTGTGTGGCCCACACTTCAAGTTGCCCGTACGTAGTGTAGTGTAGTACAACACTACGTACACTTGGCTTCGGCTTGGCATTACGTTCATTCACGTTTCCCAAACGGGGCTCAAGCGGAAGTCCTAGACTTCAACTCTCCTAAATTATTTCAAAATATTGCAAGATATCGTTTGTTCAGACAGCCAAAGTCCTTTCAAAGGGCGTCATTACCTGTCGTTACTGAGTAGAGGATGAACCACCAACGATTTCCTTCGCATGAGGTCAAGGAGCCGCATTCAGTGTCGCTCAAGGTGTTGAGGTAGGTTTAGTCGCCCGACGATCTGATACCGTCGCATCATTCCTACATCTCTTCAATTCGAGTAGCTAATCTATCCAATCTTCAACTTGAAGATTATCCCGACCCTCGCTGGTGCCGCAATTCCCACTTCATCCTCCAGTGATTCCGCCGTCCTTGACCTCTCCCATTGGCGGCACCTTGCCCGCAGCCCTTCCACAACGCCATTTACCACCCTTACCAGCATCGCTCGCGTATAGTCCGCTCGGTCCGATCAAGAAGCATGGAGAAGATGCCCACGAAGCTGAAAGCGCAGGTGGCGAAAGGACAAGAGATGGATACTACAACACCGAGCCCTTCATCCTCTCTCCCATTGTCAACCTCCCACCCTCGTTCGGGTCTGCCTACGTAGGCGAGACGTTCAGCTGCACCCTATGCGCAAACCACAATGCTCCGCCAATCGGAGAGGGCGGCACCAGCGTGAAGAAGACGATCCGCGACGTCAAGATCGAAGCCGAGATGCAGACCCCTTCAGGGCAAACGACGAAACTAGTTCTGGGTGATACGGCAGGAGATGATAACGCCGGGTCAGGATCATCAATAGCGAACATGGACAACGACAACGCCATCACCGGCAGTAACGCCAGCGGGAGCGAAGACAGTAATAACACAACAGAGGCAAAGACAGAAACAGAAACAATAGCAACCCTTGACCTCCTTCCACCCAGCACCACCCTCCAAAAGATCCTCAACTTCGGTCTCAAAGAGGAAGGAACCCACGTCCTGGGCGTCACGGTATCGTACTACGAGGCTACCGAGACCAGCGGGCGCACAAGGGCGTTTCGGAAGATGTACCAGTTCATCTGCAAGCCGTCACTGATTGTGAGAACGAAAGCCGGTCCTTTGCCTTCTTTGCCGCCTGTTAAAGCGGGGAATGGAAAGAGGAGGAGGAGATGGGTGCTGGAAGCACAGCTGGAAAATTGCTCCGAAGATGCGATACTTCTAGAGAAGGCCCAGCTAGCAGAGGTACAGAGGGGGCTGAAGTGGAGGGATTGTAATTGGGCGGGGATAGGGGTAGGGGTAGGTCAGGGAGAATCAACAATCACCGGGGAAGGGAGATCTCAGCAAAGTCAAGATCAAAGTCAAGGTCCTCCTAGACGACCGTTTTTGCAACCGGGGGAGTCGGAGCAGCTGTGCTTCATTATCGAGGAGAAGGGTGGAGGAGAAGGAGACGGAGATGAACAAGGGGAAGAAGGAAAGGCGGTTGAGGTCGAAGAGAAGAATGGAAGAATAGATTTTGGAGTCATGGCGCTGGCGTGGAGGACGGAGATGGGTAATAGGGGGTCGTTGTTAACGCTGACACTGGGCACCAAGCATGTCAAGCCTCGATGATAGTGATAGCGGCAGTTGGCTGGCTGGCTGAGTGAGTGAGACAGACCGCGGGATGATGGTGTGGTGGGTGTGGTGTTTGAGATATAGTTAGAGACTACTGCTAGCCTTTCCCGTCGAGTGATTTGCATCGATTACAGATCCTTTCTTGTCCCACCATGAATAGGTTGCTGCTGTAGAGGGGAAGACGAAAAGACTGATGATGAGTGCTGTGCAGATTGCCTGTTTACGTCTGTTCTAGCGTTGGTGGTTCTATTACTTACGACGGGAAGTGTGCTACTAACCCATAGCGTCAGTAAATGGCCTGTAGGTGCTATCGACAGAGTGTATTATCTATCTCTCTCACGGTGAACAGGTGAAGAGTTTGTGTCTCTCTGGTCACTTTCTGCCGTCGTCATTCTATGTCAAACACTTTTATTATGTATAATTCCAATCCTTCCAGAGACCATGTCAACAAAGTCATCTTTTTCACAGACGCCAAATACCATTTCTTACCTCTAACACCAGAAGATCACCTAGTTTCCTCGTCGCAAGATGCATCTACTCTCGGGATACAGTTCCACTTCTCACATTCCATTCCAATTACACGTCAAGAAATCATGACTATGCAACAGAGAAGAATCAGATACGAAACAACGAGCTCTGCCTTTTCGTCGGGGTCTTGCATTCCAGGGCTCCAGGGCCGGGATTCTCAACTTGAAACCAACACGCGCTTATGTCCGAGAAAGTCTACCTGGTCAAATCAAGTCAAACCACACAAATTATTGTATGCTCGCCAATCACACATCTCTCCTTGCGTTCTGGGTACACATACAATGATAGTTACGCATGTAAGAAAAGTGTATTGTTGAGTTATTGTGTGATTTGTACTTTTTGACCGCTTTTGTTTCTCTGAGTGTCGCCAACGCAAGTACTTACATACGAAACAGCCGAGCTAAGTAGGCCGCGAGGTAAAGTGCCTTTTGACTCCGAAGGTTTCAGAGGCTTGAGGGAAAAAAAATGTATCAAGTCTGGCTGATGCAAGATACGAAGCAGAAACCCCCCTGTCAGTGGGCAAACATGAAGTGTCAAAGCCAGCCATGCCCGCTCAGTAGCATCAGCCTCAGCTTTTTCTATATTTGCTCATCTTTCTTCCGATGTAGTTCGTTTTTGCTTGAAAACATATCGGGAATTGTGATGATGGAATAAGGCAAGGGGGCCGTGTATAGCCTTAAACTTGATAGAACCTCACGTCAATGCCAACGTAAGAATGCTCACTCCCTTGTTGCATGGGATAACAACAACAAAAAGGGGTGTGAGGAAAGAGGGGGGAAGGAGTGGGGGGGGGGGGGGGGGGGGGGGTTAATGGGAACAATGTCCGTATTATTAGCTTGACGGTAGGACGGGTACGATGACTTACATGACATGACATGACATGACATGAAAGGTGTAAGCCTGTAAGGTGAAGTGATTTTATGATCTTGCGGTGAAGAAGAGAGACACCGGGAGGGGAGACCCTGAGACCCTGAAACCCTGAAATTCCTAGTTCTAGACTCTGTCATGTTGCTGGGGTTTATGTTATCTTTCATTCCCAGTCATCAAGCTCTAAACGAGATTTCTTGTTTTTCGAGACTTGATTATGAAGGTGGTAAGAGGGCGGGGGTCAAAGATGCTTGATGTTGTTATAGTGTAATGTCTAAATGATGGGTAGATGATTGGCTTGAACAAATATGAATAAAAAAACAACTGGTTTCCGCCTCATACGGACTTTGGCTGATCATGGTTTCTGAGAAATCAAATTGTTGATTTATTTTTTTCATACCGTCTTCGAAAGGACACACAGAGTAACGGACACACGAACCAAGATAAGGGTGAGCTCGGGCCCGCCGGCGGGTATGTATTAGCAATTTGCTTTGTATGCGATGAGACAACATTATAGGACGTCGATCTTCAATGTTAAGCTTGCTTATTTATGCTATATTTACTTTTATGTGTGTAATGTACTTTGTCGCCTTTTCCCCCATATTCAGAGTATTCGTTCCCGAAACATGATAGTAATGATGATAGCGATGATGATAATGATGGGCTTTGATGTTGAAATATTCTTTGGTGTTTTCCGTCCTTTTTTCTGCTTTAATATTACGTTGCTACTGTAGGGCTCACAAGAGGCAATGATAGCACAACTGTTATTACTATTATTATCATTATTATTGTTGTTGTTGCTTGGAGAAAACATGTTTTTGTGCCCACTTACAGAAAGTACTTCTCTTGTACCGACGTTAAGCAGGGAAAAAAAAAAGGATGCAGTACCTTTTCTTCTGCTCCAAGACCTTCTTGTGTATCGTAACATTTTTTGTTTCGCCCTTCTATCTCTTCCGCCCGTTGTTCCCGAGTAAAAACGTTTAACGGTTAAGGGGTCCTGGCTGGGGTAACCGGTGAGGGGGTTTTGTGATACGGGAGCAGCCGAGGTAAGGAAGCAAGCCTTGGAACTGTGGTGGTGCCGAAGAGAAGTAGTTGTGCTAGGTAGTCACGGAAGCAGGCTGAATGAAGAACCGTTGAGAATGATGGGATGGTATACGCAGTTGAGAGATTTGTGTTTGCTCTGATGTGTACGCCTCAGGAGTTCGATGATCGTGTATCAGTCGACAATCTTTCAGGTACATAACATCATCTGTGCTTGCTTTGTGCCTTGCCGTCGTTCTCAAGTACAGTATGAAGTAACTGCGGTCCGGGATACGTGTGTTCCTGAGAGACGTAATCTAGAAGGGAGAGGAATTGTTTGGTTTGGCGAGTCAAGCGGACCGATCGATCTCGATGCTTGCCCTTGACGAGGGTCAATGTACTGCACTTTGAGAGTGATCTGAAAAGACGGGGTACATCTCAGTAAACGGTGGACGGCGACCAGGTTTCTTCAGCCGATACGGCTGTTCCTGAACTTACATGGGGCCAAGATATATCCATTTTCCATCCCCACAAAGCAGAACATCACGAGCCTCAACCACCTTGGTGGGCAGCCTAGTGTACTCCGGTTGCCGGTCAACGAACTTCAGAAAAGATCAAGGTTGCATCCGATTGTCTTGGTATTGCTCTTGAGCGAAGTAGATAGAAGCCTTTGGGCTTTGGGCGAAGACCTGTGCAATTCCGCTAGCCTCCATACAGCATCTACTTCGGCTGCATATGTGGCCTGTATTGTGGAAACTGGAAAAAGTCTTGTTTCTCTCTCGTGGGCTTCTATGTATCTATGTGTGGAAGGCAATCAGCAGCTAGAATGGTAGCACAGACATGACAGGTCTTCAATCTGCGACACGGCCTTTTCGGCTAGATGTTTAGATGTTACAGTGGACGTGCCGCCGAGTGTCCGATTATAGCCTCTGGAAAAGGGCTGGGAAGCCCGACGGGTAGTAGAAGAAGTTTGCCTGAGGACCCGGCGGGCGTTTCATGGAATGGCTATCGGCAGCCATGGCCGAACCGAACGAACTGATGCTGTTGGGCTGCGATCATGTACCATGAATTCCCATACAGTACATGGCTGGTTTACCATGCACACCTGGCTTGCTGCTGGTGTGGGTAATAATTGTTCGATGCCAGGTTGTGTGTTGTATGGACGAGAGAGATATCATCCTGTCAGCAATTTGCTTCGAAGACACCGATCGGAACACAAGAAGGTTGACCGGCCAGATAAAGAGACGGGACAGAGAGAGAGAGGCTCAATCAAGCCCCTGCATCATGACTGGTCCTGCTCTGGGTCTGGTTACCCACCAAACAGGACAACCCCTGACAGCCTCTCAAGGGACTCACTCTCTCATGACCGGCTGGCGGCCAAGCCTTTCCCAAAAGGAACAGGAAAGGGGGGAGAGGGGGGGCAGGTTGAGGGTCGTTCATTTGGAGATGGCGGAGAACATCAACAGAGGATGGATCCATCCGATCCATTTTCGGAGGAGAGAAAGCCTCTCGTCGATAGTTTGCGACTAAGTATTTGAGGTTCCGAAGTCTCGAGACCGACGAGGAAGCGGCGTTGGGGCGGCGGCCGTTCCAGGCTTTGTCTCGATGAGGCATCATCCCTCCAAAACTTCTGGGGGGTTACATTTCTGTGGTGTTGAACCCATCGAGTGGCCATGAGCATTCGAAAGCGACGTGACTTGCAGAGAGGCACGACAGGTTCGGGCGTCATTCTGGGTGCCATGTGGCGGACAGAGTTGGGTCACTTGGTTGAGGTCAGGAATCGGGTTCTTTGGCCCTTTGGTCCTACCTTGCACGGCAGTAGGTATCGACGCGTGCTCCAGATGTGGAGACGGATCATCATCATTTGGTGGTGCAGTACACTACCAGACCACATATCTGGAGGGTGGAGGGTGGAGGAAAGAAGATGTCGCCATGGGGCAGGCACAGCACAGGCACGACATTGTCACCTGCGTGAGTGGTGAACTGTAATCAAAAATGGCATCCATTCCACCTGCCATCGCCCGATTCAGGCACGCTTTGAGGCACGATTCGGGCCTGATGGAACCAGGGCCCAGGAACGGAGATTCCGTATCTGGACTCTTGCTTCTCAGGACCAGCCAACCTCAGCTGCAGTGCAGTGTCGAGCCGTCGGTTCCTAGGTAGGTAGGCAGCGAGGTGGCATGCGGGCACCTTCCTCTGGTCCATCTATTTTTCTCCAACAGAGGCAGGAGCAACGAAAGAGATGACTGATGGACAACTCCAGGAGCCGGAGATGGAAGATGGGACAACAACTGAAGCGACTGATCGATCGACAAGCTCCCCTCGTTTATCCTCGCCGAGTTCGGTTGCCATGCTCATCTACGCAACCAGACAGTCTCAAGTTACCTGTTCTCGGACCTGCAGCGATCGACAAGCTTATTGCTGGTTTTGCCCGTGGTTGATCATGATTCGTAAAGCGGAGGACCCTGACGCTCGCTGTACACTAAGTACTCGTCCTCTTGTTCTCTAGCTAGTGTAGTCTGTGTAGATAGCAGCCAGGTCGTCCGTCATCCGTCAGGAGCGGGCCGAGAGAGGAGAATGTCTCTAATGCCAATGTCTGTGTGGAAATTACCGTTTGCTACACTTTGGTGCCTGTGCTTTCTCTTAAAATAGTAGTCAGTCTGACGTCTGGACTTTGGAAGAAGGTGACGACGGCGGCGGCGGCGGGAGTCGGGGGTTCAGAATGGGTCTCTTTTAAAGCTACCACCTTAGGTACGAGACAGGGGGCAATCGGCTCACGGGCTAAAAGTAGCGTACAACCCAATTTCACCTAGCGCCATTTGGATATTTGTGTCCTGAGTAGTGTAGCGTAGCGTAGCGTAACCCGTGTCAGGTACATCAAAGGGTTTGCTCCACGGACTCGCACGGGGCAAGGGAAGGCCCCCAGATAGATCCGCCCAGACATGTCGCAAAGCTAGTGTAGAGGTCTTCTCCGCCGGGTCTTCCAGGTTCCAGGGGTGGTTTCGCATGTTTGCGTGTCGGCGCAGTCTTGTTGCAATTTCTGATGTGTCGGTGGTAATCTATGGAAGCCCGCCGTGTTGGATTGGAATGGCACCTCCCATGGAGATAGCAGCCCGACCCGGACCTGAACGATGAATGAGCGGGGACGGGAGCACTCGGGAGATAGTATGTACATATCGTGAACAACCCAAGGTAGCCGTACCTGAATGAGGTACACGCGTGGTACAGTAGTGCCTGAATCTCTCATCCACTCAGGGCCCGGCGACAGGTGCACATGCGCCGCGGCGGCGGGGACTTGCCCACCCGCCGCTGTCTCTTGAGAAAAGCGCCGTCGACCTTACGTTATTAGGTGCCCGTTAAAGACGGGCTAGCGATGCAGGGGCACCACCACCCTTGTCACGCCTCCTGCACCTTCTCAACGGGCCCCTGTCCAAAAGGGAAGCTCTGGTGTTGCAAGCATGAGAGCGACTGACAAAAGCAGAAAACAAAGCCACAGGTTAACACCGACACGAAGGCTTCACG